CCTAGGGGGGTTGGACCATAGGTCCCATCAATGGAATAGGCTGCCAAGGGAGCTTGTGGAATCCCCATCATTGGCGATTTTTTGAAAAACAGGTTGGACAAGCAACTGGCAGTGCTGGTCTAGATTTACTAGGTCCTACCTCAGCTTCTCATGGTTCTTTTCAGCCTCACATTTCTATGGTTCTGTGATTCTATAATATACTTACAAAATAATAATATACCTTTTTTTCTATTAGGTGGGCTGGCGCCAGCCGCAGAATTAGCAAAGATATGGGAATGTTCTTCAAAGGGGAGGACTATTCTTTCCAGGAATTTAGGATGGGATTTTCAAAGAGCCAGGCACCCAATTTCCCTTTGCTTCCAGTCCCTCCCAGACCAGTATTTCTATGATTCTAGGATCTCTGGTGGATATCAAAGATCATAAGTCAATGGACCCATAGCTGCACACCAGGATATCATTGCCCAATATAAACACCTGCACTTCATCACTTAAGGCCTGGTATTCAAAGATGTTTAGCTGCCTGGGAGGTTTTTATAAAGCCTCTTGGTGTCCAAAACGTATTGGTTTCAGTGGGAATTAGCTGCCTAGTTGCTTTTGAAAAACCCTCTAGGTGCCTAAATACCCCCTGGGGCCTGGATCCATAAAGAGGCCCGGACATGGTGACCCACAGTGCAGCAACAACTAACTGTTAGGCACCTAGAAAATCACTGGGGCACACACAGAATCACACACAGCCTGAGTCAGGACCCGGCTCCTATATGACGGACAGGGAGAGACAGACACCTAAGAATGGGAGTCACAAAATCCAGCATGCTAGGAGAGGAGGCACCTGAGCTAGCCAATGGGAGATGCCGAGGAGAGGAGTGTGTGCTAGCTCAGAGAGAGATTCTTAAGTCCAGTCAGGGAGGCCCTTGTCTCTGCTAGCGAACCACGAACCAGGGGAAGATAGGTGCATGCTCGGTCGGGGGCCTGATCTGGTAGTACCCAATACTTAATGACATCAAATGGATACTCCGATCTAATCAAACATACCTCGCCCTCCCAAACCCCGACTCACCAAAATCATCTGGAACAAAGAAACAAATCAATCAACCAACAAAATACAGTACATCTCCGCTCTAAGGAACCCCTGGGGATCCAAGCCATTTGTTCGTTAAAGCCAGGGATTCATTATAGAAAAAGAGCCCTGCCGCCGGGGCAGCAGCTGACACCTTGAACCCCATGGCCATGGCAGAGGCTGACAGGTCTTCCGGCCCTGGGTCAATACTAGGGGCAGAGAGGTCCTCTGGACTCGCGGCCGCAGCAGGGACAGAATTTTTACTCCCCACTCTGGAAAAAAGAGAAGAGACAGAGACCCCATGTGTGAATTTGATATGGTAACTGATTATATGTGGAAAGTGCTCTGATACCATGGTGATGGGTGACAGTACAAAAGCCTCAGACGAATCAATCGATCAATAGATGGAGGGGTATGTATGGGGATGGAGGGATAGATAGACATGATAAGTTCATGGAGGATAGATCCATC